CATGTTGAGTATCGACTCAGTTGGTGCCAAATTTAAGGCTTGACATGTTTGGAATAGACTTACTTGTGCCAGATTTAAGGCTTGCCATGTTGGGTATAGACTTACTCGGCACCAAATTTAAGGCTTGACATGTTGGGTATCTACTTACTCTGCACCAAATTTAAGGCATGACATGTTGGGTATCTACTTACTCGGTGCCAAAGTTAAGGCTTGACATGTTGGGTATCGACTTACTTGTGCCAAATTTAAGGCTTGACATGTTGGGTATCTACTTACTCAGTGCCAAATTTAAGGCTTCACATGTTGGGTATCTACTTACTAGGTGCCAAATTTAAGGCTTCACATGTTGGGTATCTACTTACTAGGTGCCAAATTTAAGGCTTCACATGTTGGGTATCTACTTACTCAGTGACAAAGTTAAGGCTTGACATGTTGGGTATCGACTTACTTGTGCCAAATTTAAGGCTTGATAGGTTGGGTATCGACTTACTTGTGCCAAATTTAAGGCTTGACATGTTGGATATCTACTTTATTTGCAAACTTTTATAACAGAAACAAAGAAAAATGTGGGGGTGTTTTTCAAAATTTTCGGTCTTATTTTGTTAATTTAGCAAAAGATAAAAAACCCCAGTGGTGATTAAATACCACCAAAAGAAAGATCTAGCTGCGTGAACAAAATGATAAAAATGCACTTTGGGTAAAGCGTTGCATGACCACGCAATTTTCAGCTGAAAATTGGCCCTTGGGCAGGAAGGGGGTAAAAGTGCCCGCGATTGGACAATTGGAGTATACGACAGACGTCCCGAGATTTGTGAAGGAACGTGTCGGCTCCTCCAACAACCACCGAGACACCACAAACACGGAACTAAAATTTTAAAAAAAAAAAAAAAACAACACATTTAATAATAGAAACCCGAAGGCAGACATCAATCGACTTACAACGAATAACGATCTGAAATATATGTAAATATCATGATTTCTTTCATACGAAAACGTTGTAAATATATTTGCATTATTATTATTATTTTTTTTATCAAGTAAAAAGGAAACATTGTTTTAAAATGTCATATTTACCACTTCCAGCCACCGGGTGGGCTCTCTCCAAGCCTACGAAGCTCCATGGGAAGGGTTTCATAGCACCGGATAGCCACTGCTTCTATGTAGTCTGATCTCCCCTGCTCTGTATCTACAAGTGATGTCTAGCTCCTCCCTCATCAGAACTTTTACCTTTAACCCTTTTTCTGCCAGGTCCATACGTCACATGGGCCTGACAGCAAGGGGTTTTACACACACGCAGTCACGGAGATAGTGCATATCTGACAAGCTGTCAGGTGGAAGCGATCAGGCATTTCCACCCCCGCGAGCGCCCACGCCATGAATCCCGGACTCCGCTCCATCCTTCCACTGGCACGCCTGGGACCAGCACCAGGCAGAGAAGAGGGAACTGACCGTACGTGTCCGCTCTTCTCTTCCTCTTTTTGTTGACTCAGAAGCAACATGTAATACGTCACTTCCAGGTCCATGTGTCGGTTTTTATGGCCAGGGAAGAACCTAATGCAGTGCAATTCTGCTTACTGGGCACAAAATGTAAGGCATGTTGGGTATCCACTTACTCGGTGCGACATTTCAGGCTTGACATGTTGGGTATCTACTTACTTGTGCCAAATTTATGTAAGAGTTAAGACTTGATATGTTGGGTATCTATTTACTCGGTGCCAAATTTAAGCTTGCCCTGTTGGGTATCGACTTACTTGTGCCAAATTTAAGGCATGACATGTTGGGTATCGACTTACTTGTGCCAAATTTAAGGCTTGACATGTTGGGTATCGACTTACTTACTTGTGCCAAATTTAAGTTGGGTTGACATGGCTTGGGTATCGACTTACTTGTGCCAAATTTAAGGCTTGACATGTTGGGTATCGACTTACTTGTGCCAAATTTAAGGCTTGACATGTTGGGTATCGACTTACTTGTGCCAAATTTAAGGCTTGACATGTTGGGTATCGACTTACTTGTGCCAAATTTAAGGCTTGACATGTTGGGTATCGACTTACTTGTGCCAAATTTAAGGCTTGACATGTTGGGTATCGACTTACTTGTGCCAAATTTAAGGCTTGACATGTTGGGTATCTATGTACTCGGTGCCAAATTTAAGGCTTGACATATTGAGTAGCGACTTACTTTTGCCAAATTTACGGCTTTCCATGTTGGGTATCGACTTATTCAGTGCCAAATTTAATGCTTGACATGTTGGGTATCTATGTACTCGGCACCAAATTTGAGGCTTGACCTGTTGGGTATCGACATACTTGGTGCCAAATTTAAGGCTTGACATGTTGGGTATTGACTTACTCGGTGTGAAATTTAAGGCTTGACATGTTGGGTATCAACTTACTCGGCACCAAATTTAAAGCTTGACATGTTGGGTATTGACTTACTTGTGAAAAATGTATGTAAGAGTTAAGGCTTGATATGTTGGGTATCATGTTGGGTATCTATTTACTCGGTGCCAAATTTAAGGCTTGCCCTGTTGGGCATCGACTTACTTGTGCCAAATTTAAGGCTTGACATGTTAGGTATCGACTTACTCGGTGTGAAATTTAAGGCTTGACATGTTGGGTATCTACTCAGTCGGTGCCAAATTTAAGGCTTCACCTGTTGGTAATCTACTTACTCGCCGCCAAATTTAAGGCTTCACCTGTTGGGTATCTACTTACTCGGCACCAAATTTAAGGCTTGACATTTTGGGTAAAAAATAATAGTAGGTGGAGATCCTCCTGCGCTGCTGAGAGTGAAGGAATAATGATATAAGCAGCCAACACCCTATCCTATACCTAAATCAGGACAATGCAATGTAATGAACAGAATGGTGCAGCGCTATTTTTACACATACAAAGAATTATAAAATCAGTGGATACAGATCAATAAACAAACGCATATACAGTTATAAAACTTACAGGTGCATAAGATCTGCCAGGATCTATTAGGTGATAAAAGGTGCAGAAGAAAAACATGCGGTCCAGTAGGACCCAAACGCGTGACTTAAACCTGTCCCTCTCTGGGACCAATCCCCAATATTCAAGTGTGATACGCACAAAAAAAGGAAGTGGGTCCCTATACAGGGCTATATATTGCAAACAACAAGTGCTCAGTGTACCATTCGCATTTGTTATAAATCAAGTGTGAAACATAAATGTCCATACAGTACCATCATACATGCTAATGGCAAGAGTAACACAATAATGATCTCCTTATACGGGTGCTCCAGTGTTAGTGCAAGCGGTGAGTGAAAATCCTAAACGGCCAGCATGCCCGCTCACCTTCCGGCTGCAAACCCTACAAGGGTCAAAACACTTTTTGGATCTCCCTGGATCCTGCCCACAATCTCCAGGTAGGTTAGATATCACATCCCTTAATTGGTCTCTCCTTCCATTCCAGCTCCTCTTCCATGTGCAGGTGACCATAGGCTTACCAATGCGCAAAGACCATGTAGGAATCATATAAGGACAAAACAAAGATTCTCCATAGTACAATATTGTATTTAATGGTAGAATAGAATAAAATCGCCAGGTAATCAACTCACATGTCAGGCACTTAACATCACTAAGCATGGGTGTACTGCAGACACTTTGGAGTCCTAAGATGGCGCTCACCAGAAGTGCGTCACCACGCCGCATCTACGCGTTACATCACGCCCTTGTGACTTCCTCAGGATAGCGTCATGGTGTAACTAGCACATATTTATAGGGGAACTTGCAATATATATCCCTGCATAGGAACCCACTTCCTTTTTTTTGTGCATATCACACTTGAATATTGGGGATTGGTCCCATTGAGGGACAGGTTTAAGTCACGCGTTTGGGTCCTATTGGACCGCATGTTTTTCTTCTGCACCTTTTATCACCTAATAGATCCAGGCAGATCTTACGCACCTGTTAGTTTTATAACTGTGTATGCGTTTGTTTATTGATCTGTATCCACTGATTTTATAACTATTTGTATGTGTAAAAATAGCGCTGCACCATTCTGTTTATTATATTGATATGTTGGATATCTACTTACTCGGTGCCAAATTTAAGACTTGACATATTGGGTATTGACTTACATATGCCAAATTTATGTCTTGACATGTTGAATATCGTCTAAGTCGGTGCCAAATTTAAGGCTTGACATGTTCGGAATCAACTTGCTTGTGCCAAATTTAATGCTTGACATGTTGGGTATCTACTTACTCGGTGCCAAATTTCAGGCTTGACCTGTTTGGTATCTACTTACTCGGCGCAACCTCATCTCTTAAATTTTACCAAAACTTTGGGTCATTTATTGCGTCGTTTAGTGTATTGCTCACTGAAACTTTGCATTTCCTAGACCTTTGCGCTCATATCGCATGACATGTAAAACTGGAACTACCACCATTTTATTCTCTAGGGTCTCTGCTTTCAGAAAATATATCACGTTTTGGGGGTTTATGCGATCTTCAGGTCTAAAATGTCTATTTAAACACGTGCGCAAAAGAAAAAACCGCAAAGACGGCTCTGACGGCGGTAAAAGCTTCACCTGCAGACAAGAGGAACTCAGAATACACAGCAGGAGGGACTCATTCCTTACGCCCGGCTCACACTGGTGCAGCTATAAAATCACGCCACTTCAGCACCATCTCAAAGCCACATACCAGTGTGATTTACACTGCCGATTTGATTGCGACTTCCTATAACAGGCGTCTATGCAAGTCGCAATGAGATCGCCAAAAAGTCGCGCACGAACCTTTTTTCACAATTGCTGCAACATGAACGGTTCCATTGCCGGCAATGGGGTGCAAATTCTCATGCGGTTTGGATCTGGTGTGAACCTGGGCCTAGTGGCATACCTCCTAGCAGTCCAATGTCCACGTGTTTTCTGAGGTGTGCTTCTTCCCCGTGTGAGATCTCTGATGCACAGCAAAACACGACTCACGTAGAAGACACTTCCCGCACTTGGGACACCGATCCGCCTTGGTTCGCATGGACTCCCTGATGTTTGATAAGAGAGGCCTTCTGTGAAAAACATTTCCCGCACTCGGAGCAGAAATACGGCCTCTTGCGGGTGTGAGTGATCTGATGTCTGTAAAGCTGCGCCTTCTGCGAAAAACATTTCCCACACTCTGGGCAGGAATGCGGCGTCTCGCCCGTGTGAGTTATCTGATGCCTGTAAAGATGGGACTTCTCAGAAAAACATTTCCCGCAGTCGGAGCAGGAATACAGCTTCTCCCCCGTGTGGGTTTGCTGATGAGCGTTGAGGTTTGACTCGCTTAAAAACAATTTCCCGCACTCGGAACAGGAATACGGCTTCTCTCCGGTGTGAGACATTTTGTGTTTGACTAGTTGCGATTTCCGCGCGTAACATTTCCCGCACTCGGTGCAGGAATATGGCTTCTCACCCGTGTGCGTTCTCTGATGTCTGTAAAGGTGGGACTTCTCTAAAAAGCTTTTCCCGCAATCTGCGCAAGAATGGGGCTTTTCCCCCGAGTGAGTTCTCTGATGTCTGTAGAGATGGGACTCGCTTATGAAACATTTCCCGCACTCGGGGCAGGAATGTGGCATTTCGCCCGAGTGAGATACTTGATGCCTGACTAGTTGGGCTTTCGCGGATAACATTTCCCGCACTGAGGGCAGGAAAACGGCCGCTCCCCCCCGTGTGGGATCTTAGATGTGCGACCAGTTCATACTTTACTGGATAACATTTCCCGCACTCGGGGCAGGAATACGGCTTCTCTCCCGTGTGAGATCTCTGATGTCTGACCAGTTGCGATGTTTGTGAGTAAGATTTCCCGCACTGAGAGCAGGAGTACGGCTTCTCCCCGGTGTGAGATCTTTGATGTCTGACAACTAGCGACCTCGTGGAAAAACATTTCCCGCAGTCGGGGCAGGCATGCGGCTTCTCTGCCGTGTGAGGCTTCTGATAGAGACTCGGTTCAAAGGTGAAACTTTCCACACATTCGGGATCGGAACATGTCTTCTCCCCCTGGATTCCGGCCCCATCCCTCACAGTACGAGGTTGCTTGGAGTCAGAGGGGTTCGATGGTCCATCCACACTGTGAAGTCCACCAAAAGCTCTTGTGAAGTCCTCATCTTTAATCTTCCAATCTGGAGATAAAGAAAGAAGATTATTGGAGGATGTTGGGTCAACGCCTTGGAGTCCGTTGAGGGACATGGGGATTCAGGGACCTTTGGGCTACACACCCGCCTACAGGAAGTGATAGGAACTACGTTCAGAGTGATGCCTCTTCAACGGATGGAGGTGCAATATGTCAGCGAGTGGCATTGCCCAGGAACACGAGGCTGAGGCTACCCCAGTCGCCTGAAGAAGACTGAAGCCTTACTGTAAGGACTACCTGATCCACAGAGACAGGACCCACAAGCCTGCTCAGGACCCACAAGCCTGCTCAGGACACACAAGCCTGCTCAGGACCTGCAAGCCTGCTCAGGACCTGCAAGCCTGCTCAAGGGTCGCAAGCCTGCTCAGGACCCACAGGTCTGCTCAGGACTCACAAGCCTGCTCAAGACCCACAAGCCTGCTCAGGACCCAAACCCGTGACTGCTAAGAGGGGGGACAGAGGAAATGGGGAGGCCATCCTGTAGGGGGCTCAACCACCACACTCCTTTATCTTCATGCAGGAGAAGGGATGAACACCTTGCTGATGGGGGAGTTGAAGGTGTAGATCTTTTTAGGAATTTAGCAGGACTCTCCTCTGCAGAAGCGGAAATGACCGCAGGTATCCTCCATCAACCTCCACCATGGCAGTACATAGTAGGGAAGAAACGGGTGTAAAAACCCGATGGGCAACTTTATTAAACGCATACAATGTAGTTACATGTAAGAGAAACACCACTGCCTAGTGAAAGAAAAAGCAGTCCAGACTGGCTCTTTTCCACTTCCGGGTGGAAGGGAGGTCAGCATGTGGTTCAGCCTGACGCGTTTCGTCAGAGACGACATCTATCCAAGGCACCATGCTGAGTCACTTCTTATACACCTTACTAAGTGGTGACTGGTGCACAGCTCAGCTCCACTTCCGGTGAATGTGATGACATCAGCATTTAGTTCCACTTGATGCATTTCGTCAGAGACAGCATCTATCCGGGGGACCATGCTGAGTCACCACTTCTTATATCCCCTACTAAGTGGTGTTCGTGCATGACTCAGCTACACTTCCGGTGAATGTGATGACATCAGCATTTAGTTCTGCTGGACGCATTTCGTCAGAGATGACATCTATCCAGGGCACCATGCAGTCCCCATTTCTTATATACCCTACTAAGTGGTGACTCGTGCATGGCTCAGCTCCACTGCCGGTGAATGTGATGACGTCAGCATTTAGTTCCGCTCAACGCGCTTCGTCAAAGACTAGATCTATCCGGGGGCACCATGCTGAGTCACAGCTTCTTATATACCCTACTAAGTGGTGACTTGTGCATGGCTCAGCTCCCCTTCCGGTGAATGTGATGAGGTCAGCATTTAGTTCCGCTCAATGAGTTTCGTCAAAGACGACATCTATCCGGGGCACCATGCTGAGTCACCACTTATATACCCTACTAAGTGGTGACTTGTGCATGGCCCAGCTCCACTTCCAGTGAATCAGTGAGTGAGTCAGCATGTAGTTGAGGTGGTACGCTGGTTGACCCACAGTAGGAATAGTCGACCATTCCCTTTAGTCTAACGGGGTCCTATTGAGGTGGTACGTTGGTTGACCCACAGTAGGAATAGTCAACCATTCCCTTTAGTCTAATGGTGTCCTGTTGAGATGGTAAGCTGGCTGACCCACAGTAGGAATAGTCGACCATTCCCTTTAGTCTAGTGGTGTCCTGTTGAGGTGGTACACTGGTTGACCCACATTAGGAATAGTCGACCATTCCCATTAGTCTAATGGGATCCAGTTGAGGTGGTACATTGGCTGACCCACAGTAGGAATAGTCGACCATTCCCATTAGTCTAGAGGTGACCTGCTGAGGGGGTAAGCTGGCTAACCTACAGTAGGAATAGTCGACCATTTCCTTTAGTCTAGTGGTGTCCTGTTGAGATGGTAAGCTGGCTGACCCACAGTAGGAATAGTCGACCATTCCCTTTAGTCTAGTGGTGTCCTGTTGGGGTGGTACGTTGGTGGACCCACAGTAGAAATAGTTGACCATTCCCTTTAGTCTAATGGTTTCCTGTTGAGGTGGTACACTGGTTGACCCACATTAGGAATAGTCGACCATTCCCTTTAGTCTAGTGGTGTCCTGTTGGGGTGGTACGTTGGTGGACCCACAGTAGGAATAGTCGACCATTCCCTTTAGTCTAATGGGGTTCTGTTGAGGTGGTACGTGGGCTGACCCACATTAGGAATAGTCGACCATTCCCTTTAGTCTAGTGGTGTCCTGTTGGGGTGGTACGTTGGTGGACCCACAGTAGGAATAGTCGACCATTCCCTTTAGTCTAATGGGGTTCTGTTGAGGTGGTACGTGGGCTGACCCACATTAGGAATAGTCGACCATTCCCTTTAGTCTAGTGGTGAACTGCTGAGGTGGTAAGCTGTCTGACCAACAGTAGGAATAGTCGACCATTCCCTCTAGTCTACAAATTCCCTCTCCAAAGGGAGCATCTCAAACACGCTCTCAGGCAGGGCCCTGGGCACTTCTAGTCTGCACTGAGGAATAACTCACGTGTTTCAAGGGCTATACTCTCTTCATCAGAACCAAATGGGGCTCTGATAAAAAGGGTATAGCCCCGAAACTTGTAAGCCAGCTAGAATCCTGGTAGAGTTCTCCTGAGCTCTGGAGTAGGCAGAGTCCAATGGACAACCATGCTACGAATGTGTAGCTTGCTATGCTACTTATTTCATATAGTTTGTGAGTATTTTTTTATTTGGATTATCAATGTTACATGGGATAATGCACTAGGCTGGTGCGCCCTCTCGTTTTGGTAGTTGTGTTCTGGGACTTGTCCAGTTCTTAGAAGACAGCAAGGTTTAGTGTATCCTTGTTCTGCGTTGAGAAGCAGACACATATGATGAACCAGACTACCACACTCATGCGCAGGAGGTTTTGTGTTCAGTATTTTTTTTTATTCTGGGGCAACAGTAGGAGACTGAGGTGCCTCAAAAAAAGAGTCTGAGATGGTCCAAGAGTCATAGACAGACTGGAGCATGGTGCAGTCAAGGTGTGTAAAGAGTTGAGCGCAGATGGACAAAAAGTCCAAGGTGGATGTGGAGGTCACTAAAGAAAGGGTAGAGGACACAGCCTCCAATGCTGAAAACCCTCCAATAGGGGAAACATGCTCCAGATTACAGGTGCTGGCTTCAACTGAGGATACCGAATAATTGCACCCAAACCATTTGGGGAGTATGGGCATGGGTCATCCGTAACAGCAGGACTGTCTCCTCTGTGTCCATGGGCAGACAAGGTGCAGTAATGCAACTTAGGCCCTAATGTCAAGGCAAGGCCCCAGGTACTCACAAACCAAGATAACTGGTGATGAAAGTTGGACAACTGGAGGTGACCAGATCACTGTAACAGGGCAATGGCAGCCAACCAGTTCCATGGGGTGCTTTGCAAGCAAAAGTGGAATGGTGCTTTCTCTATGTGGACAGACAAGAAAGAGAGCGCAGAGCTCACCTGTGCTGATCTCTGTAGGAGTGTCCTCCTCTATGAATGTCCCTGTTATTCCATCCTCCTCCATAGACTGCTGATCATCCCTCACATACGTCTCTTCTACTTCACCCTCAACTTTCATGTTCATCAGATCTTCACCCTAAACCAACAGAATGGCAGAAAATAACATCTGTAACATAGAAGGATTTATGATGTGAGATCACATAGAACATCTCATCTTGTAGAGTCCACACATTGTCTCCACATGTCAGAGTGTTCCATCACTTTATGTTCCCGACCCTCAACTCTACCTACCTGATGATGGTGAGGGATGGTGTGACCTTCCTGTGTGGAATCCCGGGAATAGAAAGCATGGGGACACCTCTCTGGTGGGTTCCTAGTATTGGGTGGCTTCATCATATCCTTGTGTCCTCCTGAAAACTCCTCCATCACTCCATACTCCTCATCCTCCTCTTTATACTCTTCTTTTATAACAATTTTATAATCCCCAAGGTTTCCACTCTGAATATATATATAAAAAAACATTTATTGTAACAAACATGATTGTGTATGAATCAAAACTATCAATGATTGTTCCTCATCTACCTGATGATGGTGAGGAATGGTGTGACCTTCCTGTGTGGAATCCCAGGAATACAGAGGACGGGGACATCTCTCTGGTGGGTTCCCATGACTGGATCCATCTGTAGGAAACACACACACTGACTGAATCCATTGTTTCTATGTGTTTATCAGATGATGGGGGATCTAGGTGGATCCTCCGTACTGCTCTCTCCTTTCCAATAAAGTCTCCTCTTACCCGGTGATGTGAGGGGCGGCTGATTGTCCATCATGATGTCCTTGTAGAGATCCTTGTGTCCATCGAAATAGTCCCACTCCTCCTTAGTAGATACGGTTCCATTATTCCCAGCCCCTTTCTCTTCGACCGTCAACAGCTCAATAATCTTCTTGATAAC